ACTGCTACACTGCTCTTTCAAACTCCTCCCCCCCACTTTCTGTTGATAACTATAAAACTGGCATAGAAAATGAGTTGACATTCAGCTTACCTGGGGCTTTATTGGTCTTTACGTTTTTAATGATGGATTGTATTTCCTTTCCCGAGACTGGTGGCCAAGGGGGAGGGGAGTTCTAGGGTTTACTAAATCACTGCTTAAAGACAGTTTCTCTGCAGGTTCTGTGGAAGCAAACAAACACTGATAATAATTCTCCCAGTCCTCAGCAGAGATTGGTATATCAAATGCAAATCTCTGTTCCTTTAGGACACCTGCTACAGAGTGCCAAAATATTACTGAGTTATGACCAGATTGAAATGTTAAAAGTTTTTTTCTTTAATTTTATAATTTTTTTTATATTTCTTTCTTGTGTGCAACATCTCAGCTTGTATATGAGCAGTAGGCCGAGCTTCATGGCTGCCTTCAATTTCTTTTTCAGCCACTGGCATTCACAATCTACCCACTTGGGCTGTTTTTGTAGCAGGTTTAGTTGCTAGGTGTTTCTTTAGAATATTACAGAGATTAGAAAATGTGTTGAAGGCTGACAGCCAGTCAGTAGTAGATGACTGGATTGTTCTAGCCCAGTTGGTAGCATTCTCTGCTGTGAGGCAGTCTGATATTGCCTTAGTATCAACTTTGGCCCAAATTAACCTTTTATTTTGGGTCACCTCTACCTTTTTGGTGAGCCATTTGTCAGCCATGTTATATGGTCTTAAATCTGAATGGCCTCGCAATGTCACGCTTACAGGCTGATGATCGCTATCATCGGTGAAGTGTACCGTAACCTCCAAGAAGAGGTCAACTTTATCTCTAAGACACACAAAAGAGATCCAGCACGCTGCTTGAATGGGCCGAGTGGTATGTGTAAGGATATGTGTAATTCTTACCCTTACCTCCCAGAATTTGGAGATTACCCTTAAATATGTAAGGAGACTAGGAACAGGCCAGCAGCATTACTTTTGCTCTCTCTCTCTCCCTCTCCCTCTCCCGCTCTCTCTCTCTCTCGCTACTGAATATGGTTATCAAAAAAAACCCATGGGACTCCCTTCTAATGGGCAAACTGATACAAAGAGGGAGCCAACCTAGTGTTAAAAACTCCTAAGTAATACCACTATGGACTGAGGGTACAATATAGATATATCATCTAGAATAACTTCCAAACCCATCCAGTATTCGGGGTTATAATCCCAGGATGTGTTTGGAGGAATATACACATTTATCAGTATTAACTTGGGAAATACAAATACTTGTCTTCGTTGTATAGTTTCTCCCCCTGCCATTGCAATTCTTGCTTTATAAGAAGGCATAACCCACCAGAGGGTCTCCCTTTGTGTTTTGGGCCGGGGAAGCCCATCCCTGAAAGCCTGGCAGTTATACTGGTTCGTCTACTTCGGTTAACCAGGTTTCCTGAATGGCTATTACATCAAATCTAGAGAGAAAGTTCATTAGTCCACTATCAACCATCCCTTTCCAGCCAGCCACATTCCAGGTCAGCATCTGTATGGGATTCCCAGGGGCAAGGTGGTCTGGCTTGGTTGGTTGGCTAGGTGGTAAGAATGCCAGATGTCAACTTGACATTGGAGCTGAGTCGATATTAACTATGCTTCCCGAATAAACAGAGTTATTGTGAGGTTCAATATTTCTCCTCGTGAGTTGCAGAACTTGTTTTTGCTCCTCTTTATCTTGATTGCCAGTGTGGCTCTGCTTTTGCTGTAAGATTGACATTTCTTTAGGTGGGCGGGTACTCCAGCTTTCCTTCTCCTTGTCTAGTTGTCCTACTGGATGGTTAATTTGGACTTGTACTATTAAGTCCTGTTGGATGTCCCTTTTCTTTTTGTTTTGGACTGGTATACCTTCTCTTTTTATTTATTGGTGCTTGAGTGCTTTCAGAAGCCGGACTTGATAGCAATTCCATGGAGGAGTTGCCAGAAGGAAGCAAAACATTCAAGCTTTCTGTTGCACCAGTTGCCGACCGATTATTTCAATCTTCTTCAGTATCATCTCCTGGTCTCCTGGGCAAAGGGTAGCAAATTGGTGAACTAGCTCTTCTTTGTCATCCATGAACTGAAGCTTTCCATTGTGTAGGTTTTTAATATTCTTTTTTATTGTCCCTATCTTTTCCTAATCTTATTAGTTGAGGGCTTGTCTGTTTGGCCATTGGTATTTTGGAGTTCCCAAAATTAATGGTGACCTCCCTCACTGTCTTGGCTCTCTGACCAGACTTTAACAGGGACTGAATTTGGGTGGTGTGAAATACCTGTCTTGACCAAATACAGTTTCTTTAGTGAGGTCTCAAGCATGAATAACATTGATGACAGAATAATCTGCCCAAAGGTTAGCAATATTCTTTTGCAGCCATGTCTGTTGGGGAGCCAAGAAATCCCTATTAGCTCATTGGAATATACCCTACAGCATAAGAGTTGGGATAGAGAGATTAAAACCACTCTCCTGTTGTGCCACCTGTCCCTGTTCAGAGGGGTGTTAGCAACTTGGAGTAAGATCCTGTGTCTCTGCAAGACCAGCCTTTCCACCGCATCTTCTTTGCCCTGAGACCCCCAGTCCCCATAGGGTGGGTGAACATCATGGGTAAGCTTTGGAATGTGAGCTTTGCTGTTTACTACAGCTAGCTTACTGATGTGTTTTCTCATTAGATACTTTAATTCTTTAATCCCTCCATTTGCTTCTAGGAGCTGGTCAAATATGGCAGTAACTGTTTGTGCTGTTAGTAGGCAATTCTTAGCAACCAAATCCAACTCTCCTTTAAAATTGTTCCTAATATTATTCTTGTTCTCCCCTCCAACTCCAATTGCAACTCCCTCCTCCATAGAAAAGCAGTTGTCCTCTTCCCAATCCAGAAGGGGGCTAGGTTTGTTTGCTGGGTTCGCAAGGGGGGAAGAAAAGAGAAAAGGAGACTTATTTGCAGTGTCTGTTATCTGTAAAAAGTCTTTTAACTTGGGTTGTTTGGGCGTTGTTGCAGCCATGTTTAGTTGGTTTTGTTTGCTTAGTAGAGAAAAATTCCCTCTCATTCACTAAATGCTTTACTAGCTGGAGTAAAAAGCTGGAGTAAAAGCTGAACCTCTCAAGTGGTGAAATTAAAACTTTTTAAATTTGAAAGTTAAAAATTGATTTAAAAGTAGAAAGAGTATTTTAAAAAGAGTAAAAATAGAGAGTAAAAAGGAGAGCAAAGCTCAAAGCTGTTGCTCACTGTCACCATCTTGGGCTTCCTACATTGTAGCAGCTTAATGGTTCTTGGTATTATGCCCAGACTTTCTATTGCGGCTTCTCTGGCTGTTTCTTTTTTCTTTGCTGGTATTTTTATTCTTGACTTTCTTAAAGGGGAAGGGTTGTTTTAAGCTACTTACACTGCTTTAGTGGTTCCTGGCACTGTCCTTTTGGGGTGTACTTCCAACACAGCTAAATCACCTCCCAGCCACTCATTGCCTGTCCCCAATTAAGGGTGGGAGGGGGCAATCGCGGGCATCTTTCTTCCTTTGGTCCATAATCTTCTCTAAATGGAGCGATCTGGCTAGTCTTTGGCTTCTTTCTTTGTCACATTAAAAAGGGGGCTTCAGGAGGTCTCTTCTCCCTCCCCACAACTGATGGGAAAACAAGGAAGTAATCTTTTCAGACTGCCGCTGCCTGCCTGATCAAGTTAAGCAATGGCTAGGAGGCAGGACGCCACTCTGTCTGATTTTTTTACTTCCTTTTAGGGGGCATGTGATCTTTCCTTAAGTCTGGATGATTTCCTTAGGATATCTTGTGAGGTGAGTGAGATAAGCTGGTATCTTTAAATGGTGCAAAGGGATCTAAGGATTGCTTCTCCTGGGTGGGAAAGGGAGCTTTGTCACTTCATTGAGCACAGGAGTATCTTGTCTATGGGGATTCTTCAGTCATCCATGTCATGGTTGTCCCAAAGGTGCTTTTTGCAAGAGGCAACTGGACTGTCTTGGTTTCCAGAAAGTCCAGTTGCCTATTGAAAAAGCACCTTTGGGACAGGAGTCTCTTGCATTGCTTTGGAGTGTCCAAGGCACATGATTGCTCACTGATAGTAAGATTTTTTTAAAAAATAGGAGGTAGGGGTGTGGATCCTCCCACCAATTTGTTTTAGTTTTCTCTCATGATAATAAGGCTTAGTAACATGGCACCAGGCTTGAAGATTATTTAGATATCTGTGGCATGTACTAATTTTGTTGTGAACCTGACAAGCTTGGGAGGGCAGAGACTTGAACCTGGGTCCTCTATATACTTTGTTAATTTGTCTATTTAGCTCGGCATTTTGTAGCCCAAGTAGACCCACCCACTTTCTGGAGAGCTTAAATGACTTATCTGCTAAAGGGTTTTATGAGCAAAAGTTGGCTGCTGATAATTATTGTTGCATTTTAACTCTTTTAATTCCTCAAGGTGCTCTGGCACCCTGCCTGATTTGTAACTCCGGGTTGCAGGTATTGCTGATGAAAAGGAAGATAGTCAGACAGAATAGTTAGGGTTTCCATGATGGCTGTGACTGTCATTGATCTTCAATGTGTATTCCCCCATTTCTAATCTAATGGTTTTGCAAGCAAAGAAGCTTTTTGTATTTTTGTACAAGTAATCCTTGACTTACAACAGTTCATTTAGTGACCATTCAAAGTTACAATGGCACTGAAAAAAGTAACTTATGTCCGTTTTTCACACGGCCATTGCAGCATCCCCACAGTCATGAGAGGTCGGGCGAGGCTAAGTGCCCCTTGACATGAGTGGCGTCGAGTTGGCCACACCCACCCAGTCACATGACCACCCAACCACGCCTACTCAGCTGGTCATTAGGGCAGAGAACTGGTTGTTAAATTATTTGAATCCCACCACTGATTATACCCTCTCTTTTTATGCTACTAAAATGACAAAGTAGTCAGGACAGGTGGTTCTTCAATTGGGGCACCATGTGTTCAGTCATCTAAACAGAATGCTCATTTCTCTCTTTCCAGGAGGCGAAGGTCAGAATGGCAGTGGGCAGCAGACAGAGCTGCTATTGTCAGTCGCTGGAACTGGCTTCAAGCTCATGTCTCAGATTTAGAGTACCGAATCCGGCAGCAAACAGTTATGTACAAGCAAATTCGAGCTAACAAGGTAAAAAAGCAAAAGTTACTTTTTTGGAATTTTTCCCATTATTACAGTACTGCAAATACCTTCATGTAAGTTTTGTATTGCATATTTGGGGGGGGGGGCAGAATGTTATGGCTTCATCTGTCGTAACATTTTTGTTACCAGATGTAACTACATGAATGTCTCTGGAAGTATATTTTAGCAGAAGTTGAAGAACAACTTGGTGGGTTTATTTTTATTAGGACCTCCGGTTTGCCAGGCTTCAAATTCTCCAGAATTAAAAGAGAAATTAAATTAAAATTAAAAATTAAAAGAGAAGTAAAATCAGCAGGTCAGATCAGCACCAACCTTGCTGGCATTTAGTAAAGCTACTTAGGCCTGACTATTTTGGAAAGCCTTTGGGGACTGATAGAATGGTGAACTCCCACCTTTCAATTGGTGATTTGTTCTTACAGTAGAAAGTGGTGTTCCTAGTATGATGATGAATGTGAAGGTTACTATTACTGTTTTATAATTTTTAATTAGTTTAATTTTTTGTTAACATATTGGAATATATACTTTTTAGCATCATATGTGATTGTAGTGACATGTAAATCTTAGAAAATAATAAATATCCCCAAATTAGGCCAAATATGATTTTTCTACTACCAGGAAAAAATGTAATTTGAGAGGTCTGTTCATTTCAAATACTAGATATGGATTTGGCTTCAGTTTGGCTACACTTTGCCAGGTAGAGGTACACCAGTCCTGAACCACTGGCCTTACTAATATAATGGTCATTGTGCCTTCTTTATTTCTGCTCTCTGACTTTCCAGGAGCTTAATTATTTTGCTCAAGGCAAGAGAGAAGGAAATCTGAATTACAGCTGGCATAAGTATATATGTAAAACTGCAGAGGTCAGCCTTTGCTTCTTTGTCTTATGTGCTAGGTAAAATCTGATACACACAGTATCTACATGTGTCTAATTCATTCAGTCACATTGTCTATCTCATTTCCTGCTTGATGAAGAGCTCTGCAGAAGTCTGAAGGCAGCATATACTCTGTGGCAAATTGATTGTTTTAAAAAATGTACTATGCATTTGTTGATACTGGGTTTTTCCCTTCTCATGGATCATGATAGATTTTGTTTGTATGTATGGTGTTTGTGCAGTTGATTTCCTTCTTCTATTTTAAATAAATGATTTGGTGGCTGTCACTGAGACAGGCGTGTTCACATTATCTAAAGTATTTTTATACAGCGCAGCCTCAAACCATCCTTCAGCCAATTGACACAGCTTGAAAAACTTCCACATCAAAGGTATGATCAAAATCTTAGAATTGGGAAGTAAAATTAAGTAATAACCCACGTACACACATCTCTATTTCCTTCGTGTGTTACCCTCCAAATGTTTAATAATTTGAAAATGCAAATCAGAAAGGAATGAAACAGAAATTGGAGAGTTGATTAAGGTGTATCTGTTACATTTATATAGTGGAGCACAGAGCTGTAAATTCTTTTTCTCAGAGATCCTTGCATGCTTTTGTATGAATAGTTTATTCATTTCCCATCCATTGCTTTTTTTTTAGTAATTTGATTAGTCATATGCAAATTTATGCTTGTAGGTCTGACTTTGCATCAAAAATCTCTACAAGAATCCACTGCTTGTTCCCATATATCTGTGGATTTAGGGGAGACTAGAGTAGATAATGGTTTATTACCCAGAATCTAATACACAGATATTCAAATGTTATTTTATCAGTTAATAGTATATATTTCCCCTTATTTAATAAGTCTTTCAAAACAAATTTAGAGTTCCTGCTTGGGAAATTTGATTCTTGGAGAATGAAATAACTTGTATCCCATGAGATGCTCTTTATTAAAGATATTCTTTATATTTGAAATGTGTTTTCCTTGTTTTCTTTCTGTAAACAGATAACTACAGTATATCTGTTGGACACTCATTTGGGTACAACCCTTTTACTTTTGCTTCCTATCATAATCTTTTACTGGGTATAGTTCATAAAATTAAAAAGAAATCTTTGAGAGGGAAAATTTAAGAAAACTGTTGCTTCTGTTTGCTTAAAATAGTATAATGTAATGACAGATGCATTTGAATGGCACTATAGAATATTACAGAATTATCAATGTGTTCCAGCAGAAATGGTTAGTTATTTCTGATGGCACCCTCTATGTTATGAAAATTTTCCCTCTTTAAGGCCAGGTTAACACTCTTCCTAATAACTTTCCATAAATTGGTATACTCTTCCAGCATTTAGAAAGTAGTGTTCCGATGCTGTCAGCAGTTATAATAGTATATTTTTCTGGTTTTGCTGTTGTTGCTGATGCTAACTGCCAGGAGTTCTTACTGATTGTGGCACTAAATTGGGATGAATCAGGAAAGATTTTTGATACTGAAAGAGAAGTCTAAGTCTGGGAATAAGGGTGGATGTGGGCAGAAACAAATATAGGTAGTCCTTGACTTATGACTGGTCACTTAGCAATCATTCAAAGTTATAATGGCGGGAGCGGAGCTGACGTTGCAGTGATACAGTGGTGGCTTAGTGGGGTTCTGCTAAGCCAGCTGATTTTTCCCTGCCAGGAGACCGCCCCCCAGGGGGTCAAAAGACACCCCGGAGAGGTGTCGAAGGTAGAGGAGACACTCTGTGGATCGCGAGGTGGAAAACAACCCCTCGCAGGTCCAGAGGAAGCCCTCAAACCGGCAGGGAAGAAGACAACCATTATTGCCGAAGCAAGCTGGGACAGCCCGACCAAAGAAGAACTGGAGGAAGACTGAGTAGCAGCGTGAGTGATCTGGGCAAAAAATCTCTGGGTGGAATTTTTCCCCAAAATATTTTTTTTTTGTGAGTGAGACTCAAAAGAGGGAGGAATGTTTTTCTCACCTCCCAAAGCTTAGCGGCAACCAAATTGCGAGCTATTGATGGATCCGT